TATATATATATATTATATATATATATATTATATATATATATATTATATATATATATATAATATATATATATATAATATATATATATATAATATATATATATATATAATATATATATATATATAATATATATATATATATATTATATATATATATATATAATATATATATATATATAATATATATATATATAATATATATATATATAATATATATATATATAATATATATATATATATTATATATATATATATATATATATATATATATATATATATATATACAAGTTGTGTGTGTGTGTGTGTGTGTGCATACATTATAAAAGGCCCATTACTGGTTAGCCTTTCTCAATCTGTCCATCCAAGACGGCGGGACACAATGCCCGTCTATTTTCCAAATATCTTGCATCCGATTGTACATCTTCGGCTTCGGATCGTTGTAATTGAGGGCCTCGCATATCCGGCAGTAATGGTAAATCGGCGACTGGAAGTAGGCGTGTTCGTTAGAGACTCGGTACTCCCTTCGCCAAGCGTGGAAGTGATTGTAGGCGGTTTGATTCGTGGCCAGTGCTCTGGTAAAGGTGAAAAGTGTGTGATTAGGTAATGATTAATAATAACAATGATAATAATAAAAACAATTAATAATAATATGTATCAGTATTAGTAGATCAGGATGGATATTTGTTAGTATATCAATACTGACTTCTTCAGATGAATATTTGAACGTTGGTATTATCACGATAATTATGCAGTTATTTGTATCTGTGTGTGTGTGTTTGTGTGTGCGTGCGTGTGCGCGCATGCTTACACACACACACACACATATATATATATGTATCTTATCTTTTACCTATTTTTATAAACCCGTAAAATATTCAACTTTATCATAGTACAAACAGTATGTTGACTAAGAAAGCACGTTCGAAATGGATCCATGCTAGAACTATCGTGAGCGCGTTCTTTGCTCCCTGCTCTTTGCTCTTTGCGCCGAGGGAGAAATCGTGCAAACACTTGTGCACATTGTGTCTGTGTGTGTGGCAATGGGTGTGTTGTCATTCTATTGCTATCCACGTTTTTCTTCCATCAGTTATGGATCTGCGGGTGTAATAAAACTAACCTGAAGTTGATGTGAATAAATAAAAAAATATATAGGATGGTTATGATGTCAATAGTCGTAATCGTCCTATTTCCTATTACTAGTACCATAATTATTATTATTATCTTTATAATTACCATAATCATTAACATTTGCATTATAAACTGTAAAATACGTCACTACTACTGAATATTTTAGCTACATCAACGTTTATTTATCTATTTATCTTTTTTTTGTTGTTGTAACTGGCTATTACCTTTACTGTTATTCCTATTTGTAATACTGCTGCCGGTACTAGTACTATTAATTTTATCTCCCATGGTTATCATATGAAAAATCATTCTGGCAACTGACGTGGCATCAAAAAATATGGCTACACGTGTGAAAACTAGAAATAAAAAGTATTTCTTCTCCCAGGTGTGTGGTATATACTTTGCGCTCTGCCATGCATTATTATTTTCCCAATCCAAAGTGTTACCATGTGTTATACTCATAGATTTGCATAGCAGTATACCACTTTTGTCTTTGCTTTTGCCTCGTGTTACTGACAGTTCCTACAGTTCATGTCACACCCGCAGCTTTACTCAAACAAAAGCAAATATTTCCCTTTATATGGCAAATTTCTATTGACATTCGCACTTTCAGTATTTGCCTGTTGGGTTTCGACTAACCGAATGGATGAAAACGAAAAAAAAGAGAAGACTTTGGTGTAATGGAATCGAAATATAATGAAAACTGGTTTCGTTTACATATACATCTAAATAATCACCCAAGTAGATATTGATTATAGTAAGTATCGTTACCTATTCATTAAGAAGCTAAGGGTACCTCCTCTGGTCTCTTTTAGGGGTTCGTGATTTTAATGGAATTGCCATGAGCGATTACGTCAAAAGCCGACAGTATCCATGCGGATCAAATGAACGCAAATACTGGGCGTCGTAGCCGATGATTCAATTGTTTTTGTCGGTACATAATGAATGCGCCGTCACCAAGTAAATTCAACGAGCAATGTGAATCTTTTATTTAAATGGTGTATTAATAACACTCGAAACCCGTAGAGCAAGACAAGTAAAAGAAATGTATAAAAAAAACAAACACTACACTTGCATATCTTATCTGCAAGCGTAAATAAATAAAATCCTTTTTGTACTTATACTGGTGATCGACGTATATGAAAAACAGGCTTTGACCAATATATATATATATATATATATATATATATATATATATATATATATATATATATATATATACATGTGTGTGTGGGGAGGGGGGGGGGTGGATGTGTGTGTGTGTGTGTGTGTGTGTGTGTGTGTGTGTGTGTGTGTGTGTGTGTGTGTGTCTGTGTGTGTGTGTGTGTGTGTGTGTTTGTGTGTAAATATTATATGAGTTTATCCACCAAGTTAT